GACGCGCTACGGAACGTGCCAATGGACGTGCCACGAGACGTGCCAGGGGACGCGCCGCGCGACGTGCCAGGGGGACTCGCCACAGGACGCGCCACGGAACGTGCCAAAGAACGTGCCAGGTTGCAATGCTGAGTGAGTGTATCGATCTTGATGTACCGTGCCGAGAGCTGTGCTGTGCTGCGCCGTGCTGAACTGCGATGTGCCATGCCGCGATTGTGCTCTATAGCCTCGTGGATCGAGCCCTCTTTTGCATCCGAGTCCTGACCGAACTGATCTGGATCTTAAGCTCGAGCTGCCTGAGCACATAGTCCACGTAGTAGCTGCCCCAGGGCTAATTGACAAGGAAACATGCCAGGAAGACGCGCCGCGGAACGTTCCAAGGGACGCGCCAGACGACGTGCCAGGGGACGTGCCACGGGGACGCACCGCGGGACGTGCCAAGAGGACGCGCCACAAAACGTGCTGGGGACAAGCGTCGTGTTGGTGGCCTGGACACAAATTACACTGCGTCCGCGTTCCCAGGGCTACGATCCCTTGTAAATTACACTACACCCGCGCTCCCAGGGCCACGATCCCTCGTAAATTACGCTACGTCAGCGCTCCCAGGGCCACGATCCCTCGTAAGGGCTCCTGGGCCCTCCTGGGTCTTCCTCGGACCTCTTGGGCCCTCCTGGGCTCTCCTGGAGCCTCCTGGAGCTTCTCCTGGGCCTTCCCTGCAGCCCCCGATGCCCCCCATTCCCCCGAGCCGGCGATGTGGTGGGCTTCTCGCCTGCCCGTGGCGGACCGCCCGGCCTCCGAGGGGGGAACACCGCTCCTCCTCCTCCTCCTCCTCCTCCTCCTCCTCCTCCTCCTCCTCCTCCTCCTCCTCCTGGACTCAGCCTGAGCGCAAACAAGGTTTGTCCGCGCCACCTGCCACTTACGCCACCGCATGGCCGCAGCCAGAGGCGGGTGGCGCCTCCCGAACAGTGCCCAGAACATAAGGCAAGGCCAGCGCGCAGCGGGCTGGCGGATATGGAAGCCGCGCAAGGCATGGCGCGGCATAAAACTAGAGCGGTTGCACCACTCCAGCTCGGACGACTGACGCGGTACGCAGCGGATCCTCGAGGTACGCCAAACGCGATTGACCTGGAAGCGCGCTGGCGCACGCGTGAGGCCCGAGAGAACACGAGCGCCCCATGTACCTGGAGCAGGAGGGCCTCGACAGCCCTGCGACAAGTTCGCAGAGATCTTGACTCCTCCCAGCCCGCACACGACACACGCAGTACACCACAACCTCCGCCCCTCGTCCCCAATAACGGCGAAGGGGTGCATGACATGCGGTCTCCCTTCCGCAAGCTGCACCCGCGCAGAGGCGAGGTCGGCTCTCGACAGGCTGCGCGGTGCGACTGGCAGCGGAGGGCCCACCACCAGCCTCGGCACAGGGCGGTCCGCATCGCCAAGGCCACGAGCCTTGCGCTGCCGCCGAGAGACATGCTCACAATCGACGTCGCACATGCGAGGCCCTATACGCGCAACCCAGGACGCCCATTGAGAGAGCACGAGGGCCTTAGCTTTGCGAGTCCTGCGGAGCTCAGGGTCAATACGGGCTCTCGAGGCCATCCACTGAGTCCAGTCGTCTGCATGCGCATTGCCCTAGTTTTCAAAACGCGTGGAGAGGCCAGACTGAATGCGGGCCTCGGTGCAGTGACCTCTGACTTTGCGAAGGTCAATGCACTCGATGCCGCCCCAATCATCGATGCGGCGCCAAACCTGGGCCCACAGTTCGGACCAGGCTGCGCGCGACGAGCAGCAATACACCTTGCCACGCAGGTAAACTCCTTCGTGGACAAAAGCTGAATCAGTATACAACGTGCTGCCAGGAGCGCTGTGCTGCAGGGCGCGGTTGAAGGCAAACAGCTCGGCACAGCCAATATCCTGGCACACGCATTGGAGGGGGCCGCACATCACCGAGTTAACCTTGTACGGATACTGCGGTTGCACACTGACCATGGCCCAGCCCACGGCCTGCGACGCTGGCGGCAGATGCTGGTCCATCCAGCTGGCATCAAGGAGGATGTGCCCTGCCATCTCGGTAGGGCCTCCACCGAACCACCGATCCGGGAGGGAGTTCGCAGGAGGAAGGGGAGCCTCGGGGACAAGGAGCCTCTCAGCAAAGAGGAGAGGAAGGGGATCAACGCACGCCCTGACCACTGAGGTCCAGAAGTCAGGTGGGACCTCCTGTGCCGCGATGTCATCGTGGCCCGCACAGCTCGCGTGGCGATGCAAGAGCGTGCCAGGGGCCTGCTGACGCAAGCGGCAAAGGGGGTCGGCGGTGTACTGCGCAAGCCACTGACGATGCTGAGGCCACTGCCCGCCAGCGACAACACTCCTCAGGTAGGCCTTCTCATCGTGCCTGAGGACATTAGAGGCTACAAGAGACTGCAGAGGCTGAAAATTGCACCCAAGAGAGAGCTCAGGAATCCCTTCTCTCGAGGCCACTTTTTCCTAGAGCCACTGCAGCACGACATGGTAGAGCCACTTGCGGACGGTGCGAGGCCCTGATTGCGATATAGAGATCTCACCGCGCCGAGGATGCGACCACGAAAAACCTTGCACGCGGATGCCGAGACGCAAAGCTGCGGCTGCACACGCAGAAAAAGGGCCACGGATGCTGGCCCAAGGATTGCCGTGATCAGTAAACCTCTCAACGGCATCCCGCAACCCTTGCTCCAGCATCGCTCGCGGGTGCCATTGTTCCCACACCGCGGTGGCATACTGCGCCAGAGGAGCGCACTGCAGCTCGTAAGCAGGGTCGATCTGACGACGTTCACTGAGCATGAGCAGCAGCGTCGCACTCTTGCCATCGAGACGGTTCGCCTGCACGCGAGCCTGCAGCATGCGCGCTTGTCTGATATCTGTGCCAGTGGTGCCAGGCACCTTGCACCCGTAGGTGTGCGAGGACAAAGCAGCACTGCGGATCATCGTGCGCAACTGCCGCTTGCGAACAAACGAAGACAGAGACAGCAGCTTGCGCGCTCGAGTGACAGCAGGCTTTTTTCTGCTGGCACGGACATGATGCCTGTAAACCTTGCTAGCGGCAAAATCGATCCCAAGATTCCTCTCAGTGCGAACCCCTTTGAGCCTGGCAGAGCGAAGCCGGGCCTCGAGGAGCCCGCGAAGCCTGGCGCTGGACGCAACCACACGACTCTTTGTTAATGCTGCGAATGCAACACACGAGTGGCGCCAGCAAGCTCTGATGCAACATCCTCCTCTCTGCCGAGCCGCTGCAAGCCAAAATCGTCTACCGCATTGCCGAGATGTATGTGCGGAAACGCTGCCTGCACAGTGTCTAGCGGCGACAGCAGCACTAGCTGCAGCATCAGGGTGGCAAAGTGACACCCTGGCAGCACAGCTTGCAAGGTGCAAATTGGTGTGGACGTTGCCTCGCCAAGAGCAAGCACGCGAGGGCAGCGATAAAGCTCGACCAGCAGCTTGAGCTGGCGCACTGGGAAGCCCGTGCGCACCGCTGCCTGCAACAAGACATCATGCCTGATATGCTCAAATGGTTTGGCTAGATCAAGAAGCACAAGGGCGCTGGAGAAACCACGTGCTCTGCCCCACTCAGCAGCTGAGGCCTGCAACCAAACCAATTTGTCCGAGGAGCGCCCAGCCGTGGACCACCAGAAGGGACGGTTATGCTGCTGCTGCCAAGCTGCCACTAGAGGCTTGCGAAGCCTCCCCTGCGCACGAGCCAAGATGTGAATGAGCGCGATGGGTCGGAAGCCCCCATCACGCTTAGAGAGAAACACGACCTTAGTCCAGATCGAGGGCCAGGTGCAGGAGGCCCCAACCTCAACTAAGATATCGAGGAAAGCTTCCAACGCTTCATCGGACAAGGCCAAAAGCTGGCGCGGACAGAACTGGTCGAAACCGCATCCTGACCGTCGCGGGAAGGATCGCACACACTCCTTCAGCTGCTCAAGCGAAGGTCGCGCGAAGAGAGGGCCAAGATCAGTCGGCCAGTCGATCTGGCCACTAATGGCTCCAACCTTCCACCATCCCGACCACTCAACCTCAAGAGCCTCCACCTCCTCCTGAAGCGTGCACGGCTTGCCAGCAGTTAAAGAGCTGGTGTGCCAAGGAACAGCGGGCTTGGAGAAGGCATACAGAGCGGCTGCACCGTCAATCGAGTGCCTACGCACCCAATCACGCCAGCCAGCCTGCTTGCCTCGCTCGGCATCTTCAAATACTGCAGCAGCTCGCGCACCAGTGAGATTCGCCGCTGCTGATGCCAGCACGTACGGCAGCGAGAAGGACAGCTGGAGCAGCAGTAACCAGGGCTCGGCTTCCTCAATCGGAACCCCACTAGCACTGTGCCGAGCCTGGACACTGCGACCTAGCTTGAGGGTGCCAGCACGTAAATTTGGCGGCTGCCAGCGCGCCAGGCCTTCAAAACAACGAGCCAAGAGCCGCCACCAGAGGGCGGCTGGACTGAGCACAGGGAAGGCAAGCGGGTGAGGAAACATCGGCTTGCGCGTGACAAACTGTAGAGGGAATGCTCTGCCGAAGTACTCGGGATTCTCAGCAGGTATGAGGTCGTGCACATCGGCGAGATCGAACTCAGCGTTGGCTACCCACATCTGCCACTTCTCCGCAAGCGGGAGACCTGCCATCTGCTCGCAACAATGCTGCCATCGCGGCTGAGGATCAGTCCTCCTGCAAGCCACTGGAGCATCTAGGGGAAAACGCCTAGGCACTCGTACTGACCGAAACTCGAGCCCACACTGCGGAAGTGCCGAGAGCTGCAACAGCACTGGACAGTGTGGCGAAGTGCCTGCATCATGCACGACTGAGACACAAGCTCGATGCGATAACGAACGCGAAACGTCAAAGTAGTCGATGATGCGACCAGCGGAGGCGGCGGCATTAGTCCACCTCCTCCTCCTCCTCCTGCTCCTCCTCTTCCCCCTCCTGCTCCTCCTCCTCCGAGCGGGGAGCACCGGCGGGACTGGGGCCCAGGCCGCGAGCTCCGCCACGCGCGTGGACGGCAGCCAGCCGGGCGTCTCGTGCCCCTGCTTCCGGCAGTACGCCCAGCCGCCCGCGTCCTTGACGATGATCTCCAGCGCCTCGCCCTCGAGCCCCTGCATTCGGGTTGCCCCTCGTCGTCGTCGTCGTCTCCTTCTTCCACTATTCATATGCAACTGGGCGATGCCAGGGGACATGCCAGGGAGACGCACCGCGGAACGTCCCAAGGGACGCGCCAGCGGACGTGCCAGGGGACGTGCCATGGGGACGCATCACGGGACGTGCCAAGGGGACGCGCTACGGAACGTGCCAATGGACGTGCCACAGGATTTGCCAAGGGACGCACCGCGCCACGTGCAAGGGGGACTCGCCAGGCGACGCGCCCAGGAACGTGCAAGGGAACGTGCCAGGCGACGCGCCAGGGCACGTGCCAAGGAACGAGTCAGGGAACGTGCCACGGGACGTGGCACGGGACCGCGCTCCTAGGCAGAAAACGCGGCTGCAGAAAACGCGGCTCGCCTCCCCTTCGTCTGCTGCGGAAAACGTGGCACAGGGCCGCCATTCGTCTGCTGCAGAAAACGCGGCTTGCCTCCCCCCCGCCCTCCCCCCGCAGACACCGCGGAATCAGAAAGGGGCAACGCACGGCGGACCCATAACGAAGCCATGGCGACGGGATCGCGCTCCCACGGCCACGATCTCTCGTACATTACGCTGCGTCCGCTCTCCCTGGGCTACGATCACTCGTAAACTACGCTGCGCCCGCGCTCCCAAGACAACGATCCATCGTAAATCACGCGGCGTCCGCGCTCCCAGGGCCGCGATCCCTTTCAAATTACGCGAGAGTCACGCTCTCGAGGCCACGGCACCTTCGAACATCACGCTGGATTCGCGCTCCCGGGGCAACGATCCCTCGGACATGATATAGGATTCTCGCGCTCCAGGGCCACGGCCCCCTGTGAATGAAACTGCGGTCGCGCTCCGAGGGGCACGATCCCTTTTAAACTACGCTGGGCTCGCGCTCTCAGGGCCACGATCCTTTGTAAAGTACGCTGCGTCCGCGCCACCAGGGCCACGATCCCTCGTCTATTGCGCTGTGCCCGCGCCCCCAGGGGCAAAGTCCCCTATGAATTACGCTGTGTCCGCCCCCCCCACGGCCAGGATCCTTAGTAAATTACATTGCGTCCGCCCCCCCAGGGCCACGATCCATTGTAAATTGCGCTGCGTTCGCGCTCCTAGGGCCACGACCCCTTGTAAATCACGCTGCGCCCACTCTCCAAGGGACACGATCCCTCGTATACTGCGCTGCGTCCGCGCTCCCAGGGCCACGTCTCCCCATAACTTGCGCCGTGTCCGGGCTCCCCGAACTCTGCCTGGGCACCCTGGGGCGCCCAGGCCGCTCGAGCTCTGCAGCACGAGCGTCTCGCTCGAGACATCCTCAGACATATCGGCGCGCAGGGCTCGCCATCTTCGACCGAGCACGCCAAAAATTGACGTCCCCGATTCCCGGACAAATGTCAAAGCCTCCAGACGTCGTGTTTTTACCATGGGTCCTGCGCAAAACGCTCACCACCCCGTTCTTTGCCAGGGAAGCAGCGTGTTCTGCGGACGCGGTCGTGAATCGAGGATGATCCGAGATAGGAGGCGAATGTTCCTCGAGCGGGCACGCGCGAAACATATGTTTCAACAAAGGTTGTTCACTGGGTGGAGCTCTCCATATGTGCATCTCGTGATCTTGTCATGTCTCGCTGAATAATTTTGTCTGTGAGTATTTGGGTGTGAGAGCGAGCCAGCGTGGACGATGGGCGCGACAACAACGACGGCGACAGCGACGACTTCAGTGACGTCCTGCTTTTCAGGGCATCTTCCAGGAAAGATAAGGGAAGCACCAGTGGAAGGGCGAGGGGGCACTGGACCACTGAAGGAGAAAATTATGAGTGAATCTGAGCATGAGCTGAGTGTGAGCGAGTCTGAACGTGAATGAACGTGGGCATGGTTGAGTGTGACTGTCAATAATCTAGGTATGCGGGAGTCTGAGTACGAGTGGGTCTGAGAATGCGTAAGTCGGATAACTCTACATTCTAAATATGAAGGGGTCTTGCGTCAGAATGAGTATGTAGATCTGACTGTGGGTCTGATTATGAATGGACCTGAGGGTGGAAGGGTGGGTGGGTCTGAGTGTGAGTGGTTCTGAATGTGAACACATCGGAACGTGAGTAGGTCGGCATATGATGAATATGAATATGAATGGGTTTAAGCACGACCGAATCTGACTACAAGTGAGTCTGCGGGTGGGCTTGTCAAAATGTGAACGAATCTGAATGTGCGTCAGGTCTGGGTGTGAATGATTCTGGGTATGAGTATGATGAGTACGAGTCTTAGTATGAGCGTGTCTGAGCACGAATGAATTTGAACAGAAGTGAATCTGAAACATCCTCACAGTCTGGGCCCCCTGGGGTGCCAAAGCATCCTCAAGATCTGCTCCGAACGCAAACGAATCTGGCCACCAAAACAAGCAACCCGCTCTAGGGATCGTGGCAATATGGGCCCCCTGCGTTGCGGAAACAAGCGCCTCGCCCGAGACAGCCTCAAACTCTGCACCGCAAAACAGAGGATGGCGGGGCACAATACAGGCACACCGCTCGAGGCACCCCCGCAATTTTCCCCTCGAGCGGGGGAATGAGATACCCCCTGGCGGCTCCCCATTGGGCGTGCTGAAACCAATGCGTCGCCCGAGGCATCCTCATAATCTGATTCGAACGCAGACAGGTCTGGCCATCAAAGCAAGCAAACCAGTCGAAACATCCTCGCAATATGGCCCCCTTATTGGGTGCGAGCGCCAGTGTCTCGCCAGAGGCATCCTCAGAATCTGCTCCAGCAGCGGAGAATGCGGGGGCACAAAACAAGCAAACCGCTAGAGACATCCCAACAATCTGGGCGCCGCGAACGGAAGAGTGAAATACCCCTGGCGCCCCCCCCCCACCCCCACCCACCCCCACCCCCGTAATCTGGGCACGAACGGAGGAGTGAGAAACCCCCTGCCCCCCCCCCCCCCCCCGCCCCTTGGGAGTGCTGAAGCCAGCGACTCGCCCGAGACATCATCATAATCTGCTCCACCATCATCATCATCATCATCATCATCATCATCATCATCATCATCATCATCAGCAGCAGCAGCAGCAGCAGCAGCAGCATCAGCATCACCACCATCATCATCAGCATCGTCATCACCAACATCATCGGCATCATCCGTACCAACACCACCATCAGGACCATCACCATCAAATCATAGCCTGAAAATGGACCTCATGGTCACAAGTATCACCATACCCATCACCGTCAACATCACCAGGATCACCATCATCATCATCACCATCATCATCACACGCATCATCCGCATCATCACCCGCATCATCCTTATCTGTAAGGGCTTCGCTCCATGCCGCCGACCCCCTGTCTCGGATAATGGGAGATGCAAAAGCTAAACCATGAGGTCTGGGCGCCGCCGTGAAGCAGTGTCGGGACCTGTTTGTTTTTTTGACCCTGATCCTACGGATCTGCGTGAGGGGTGCCACCGGATTTCAGTTGCAAGTCCCCATGTGTTTTTGGACCCTGACCCTATGGATCTGCATGAGGGGTGCAGCCGAATTTCACAAATGTTGCGAAGCCTCTTGTGTTTTTGGACCCTGACCTTGTCGATCCGCGTGAGGGGTGCCACCAGATTTCAGAAATATTAAGAATCCCATGTGTTTTCGGGCCCTGACCCCGCCGATCTGCGTGAGCGGTGTCATCGAATTTCAAGCATGTGGCAAGTACCATGTGTTTTTGGACCCTGACCCCGCCGATCTGCGTGAGGGGCGCCGCCGAATTTCAGAAATGTGGCAAATCCCATGTGTTTTTTGACCCTGACCCTGTCGATCCGCGTGAAGGGTGCCACCGGATTTCAGAAATATTGAAAATCCAATGTGTTTTTGGACCCTGGCCCCGCCGATCTGCGTGAGGGGTGCCAGCAAATTTTAGAAATGTGGCAAATCCCATGTGTCTTTAGACCCTGACCCCGCCGATCTGCGTGAGGGGTGCCACCGGATATCGAACATGCGGCAAATCCTATACGTTGTTGGACCCTGACCCCGCCGATCTGCGTCAGGGTGCTAATTTTTACGCACCCCAGCACTTCAGACAACGCGCTCAGGGCGTGCTAAACCTGCCCGTTCGGGCCTCCCCCACCTCGCGCGGTCCATCAACAAGGAACAGTAAGCAGCAATAAGCAGAACTGTAACAGTGGCAACTGGAAGCTGCAACTGGCACAGGAAACTACGAACCGTCGGCCTACAGCCTGGTGGCCCCACAAGGGGGCTGGCGGATCATCATCCTACTCATCACCATCAGGACATAACCTAAACCGTTGCCCTGAGTGTGACTCTGAGAGAGGAACAGGAGGAGGAGCGCACGTAACCTGAGGCGGTTCGTGGCAACCTGAGCACTAGATGCGCATTGCAGCAGGTGCGGCGGCTCGGATCTCGCAGTGGTATGGCGGCGTCGGGGGCCGACGGCGCAGAGAAAGGTCAGCTTTCAATTTGTGGCAATGTGAAAGCTGAAGACTACAATCTGGTGGCATCGTTGACGGGGATACTCCGTCTCCGAATCGGGCTCAGCTCCGAGACCCAGATGAGTGAGAGGCGAGACGGGGAGAGACCCGCGAAGGAGGGCGAGGAGGCGCAACAGACGAGGACACACGAGGTAGTGGGGGAACTCATCTGGGTGGGAGCATCCAAGGAAACAGGAGCATGCAGGTGCACTAGGAAGTCGGGCGGAGGTCGCCCAGGCCCCCGCCAGAGTCTTGAGGTGGGCCCAAGCCCAGGAGGGTGGAGAATGGGAGAGGACCACTCGGAGGGCCCCCAAACGTTTGAGCAGCTCTGGGGCCGCTGGGATGTCCCCACTTGGAAGCCAGACCGAGAGACGCCGATGGAGCAGGGAAGGGAAGGCGTCAGGGAAAAGAGACTAGGAGAGGAGACGGGTGAGGGCGCGCTGCGGTCGGGGGCGGCGGGCATCCTGCGCCGCCGCCAGGATCTCGGCGTCGGCGGCTGTCGTTGCAGCCCGCCAGGCCGCGGAGTCCACG